AGGCTACCCTCACCCATGTGGCAAGAGAGAAAGAGACCTCCATTTTAAACAACTTGGACATACTCCAAAGACCCCTTAGGAACAACTCTCTTAATAGAACTGGGCATGCCTAGAACAGCTCAGGTTACATTTACTAGTTACATTGTTTCATATCTTAAGTATTGCATTTGCTATTGCATAGACCAGAAGACCTCTATCTCTGTTCTAAGTATTTGTAGGATATGAAGTCATTACCTACTTTTTACTTATCAGTAATAACCATAGCTTATGTATCAATATCTATTACGAAGGGGTATGTGGGTGTCCTGGGAAGACTAGTACCTCTGGTGTAGGGGATGCTGAACCCTTTTCAGAGCTGCTTTCCACCTTTAGTGTCCAACTGGTCATCTGGCTTCAAGAAGCTGTGGCATGCACAGTGGCCACACCCTGGTAAACTATTTTGGTGGACAGGATAAACCAGGTTGAGGATAACCAACAGGCCTCAGACCCATTAGTGAGTTAGGTGGATTATCTACTTCAAGCATGTGAAGATTTCTCCCAGTGGAATGGGCAAATGAGAACAGTTTGTTCTAACAGCCATGGAGGTGGCTGAAGCAGGTTCTGTGGAGCACTTAGAGCTTGGTCAGACATTGAAGATGCCAACTAAGGTCATCCATGAATCCTGCAGCATCGCTGGTTGTTTTGACCATTGTCTTCACCCTGGACTTTGATGACTCTAGGAGAGTGAGGCTGAGGACTTTGAGCAACTCTGCCTCACTTAAATACAATTTTTGCTTGAGTCAAAAGATATCACCCATACCATTTTACCATTTTTACCTACCTCAAAAGTCCTGCAGAGTATGGAATGATTCTCTGCCACTTATGTTAATTTGGGCCTGACAACACCAAGAAAACAGAAGTTCTTTACCAGCCAGCACCGCACCACGCCATCCATATGTGGATGGTTACAGGAAATGAAGAAATTTTGCATGCTGTGGATAAGTATTTACCTTGGCTGTATACTTTCCAGGGATGTATATATAGATAATGAGATTGATTCATGCGTTGCCAGAGCTAGCTCAGTGTTTGAGAGGCTCTAAAGGAAAGTGTGGGAGAGAAGAGGTATTAGGCTGCCTACCAAATTGAAGGTCTACAGAGCTGTTGTGCTGACCTCATTGTTGTATGCCGGTGAAACCTGAACAATATGCCAGTGCCATTCCAGAAAACTGAATCACTTCCATTTGAATTGTCTTAGGAAGATTCTGAAGGTCACCTGGCCAGATAAAGTAGTGGACACTGAGGTGCTTTCTTGAGCTGAACTGCTGCATGTTCAAACATTCTACTGCACAGAACGCAGCTCTGATGGCTGGCCACGTTGCTGAATGCCAGACATGTTTGCCTAAAACTTAAAGGAGAGCTCACACAAGGCAAGCACTCACATGGAGGTCAGAAGAAGTGATAAAAGGACCTTCTCAACATCTCTCTGAAAAACTTTGAATTGATTGTGAGATATGGAAGATGCTGGTACAAGACTGCCTAGCATGACATGTCCACATCAAAGAAGGCACTATGCTCTCTGAGCAAAGCAGAATTGCAGTAGCTCAAAAGAAATGTGAGATACGCAAATTTAGAAACATCCCCCCCCCCCGATATTCATATGGACTATCTAAGCCCAAGCCTTCCAAGCTTGTGTTGGTCTGATCAACCACAGTTGGACACATTGTACCTGGAACTTGACATAGTGATGTCATTTTGGAGTAGGCATTTTATATCTCCATTAGAATATAAGCTCCCTGAGGGCAGGGATTGTCTTTCTACTTTTTTTTTTATTCCTAATGCTTAGCACAGTGCTTGGTATGTAGTAAGATCTTATTAAATGATTGTTGATTGCCCGAGGTCTCTGTGATAGGACAAACAATTGTTTTATACTGGATACTTGTCTTGTTGATACCATCTTGAGGATGGTTGATGATTCAGGGTTAGTTCCTATAGATCCCTGGCTTTAATCTATAAAAGAGGGCTACATATAACCTCCAGTGACAGGAGAGAAGGAAAATAGAGAAGCCTAGAGAGGTGATATTCCCCACCCAGACTCAGACTCAATTTCTTGAAGGAAGGTTTGTCTATAATGCAGTTCCTAAGGGGAAACATCTGGCTCTTCCAGGGAATGAGAAGAGGACCAAGTGAGAGTTCCTATAACAATTGGGAGCAGTTAAGCCTCAAGCCATGAAGTGGAGGAATGAGCCTCAACTTTGCCCTTCATTAATACTGTGAGTAATGTGGACAGTGTAGGTCCTGGGGTGAGGGAGATCAATTCTCTTAATGGGAGATCCTACCCACTACCCAGGGAAGTATTTTACAGGTCCTTAGAAGACAGGGTTCTTCTGGAGAGAAGGAAGGAGAGTGATCTTGACTTTCAGTGGACTTGTGAGTTCTTTGCAAATTTTTGTCAGGTTAGATAAAGCCTGATATACATTTAATGTTTTGCTAGCCTGAGTCCTTTCATGTGAGCTGAGGGTCATTTTCTTTTTCATTTAATTATCTATTAATTCATTTACTTATTTATTTACCTATGTATGTATGAATGTATGTATGTACGACTATCTATCTTATTGCCGGACATAGACATGATATTCCTAAGGAAATCCTGGTGATGGGGAAACAAGCCAAATTCAGTTGTTGAGAAATTTTATTAAGAATTTGACAAACTGTTCCAAACTCATTCAACCTTTATATGTCCAGTGATTTCAGTGCAAAGATGGGCACAAGCAGGGGGACAGTGAGAACTGGGGTGGAAAATTTGGTCCAGGATCACGAGTTTAAAGAGATCAAAGGCTTGTGGACTCACATCTGTATGTTATAAAGAAAGTCTAATGGGATAAGAGCCAAAGCTTCCCAGCACCAGGTCTAGGGCTAACTCACTTTCTTGCCATTTGAACGTTCCCACTATCTTCTTCCTTCAGAAGCCTTGGTTACTTTCCAGAGCTGGGCAGAGAGGAGAGTCCTTGACTGGCAATCAGGAAATCTGGAGTTGATTTCCCATGTTGTACTGACCAGTTTTGTGACTGTGGCCAAGTCACTGACCCTCTCTGGGCTCTAGTTTTCTGCTTTGTAAAATAAAGGAGTCCGACTAGATGGAGAGGCAGAGGAGCACAATGGATCTTACACTGGCGTTATTAGGATCTTAGGTAAATCGCTTAAATTCTCTCAGCCTCCATTTCCTTATCTGTAAGATGAAGGCCGTTGGACCGGTTGGTCTTTTAAGACCCCTTCTAGCCTTCAGTCTATGATCCTGTAGGCACTAGGAGGTGAAGCGATTAATGTTGACTGGTCATATGGCAAAGCAGAGGCCAAAGAGGGCCCAGAAACCAGAAGGATGAGAGATGGAACAAAGCTAGTATCAGAGGCCTTTCTCTCCTTAACAGTATTTCTCTTCTTCAGACCGTAACCCACATCTTCCCCAGGTGTGGCTGATCTCAGCATCCCTGTGCTGCTCCTGCCCCCTAGTGGCCCAAAGCATCAGGAAAGACAGTCGCTGTGAGCCTAATTTCCAGGAGGTGTGATCCTTCTGTTTGATTAACTATTGCCCTCCAATCCCTCTTTCCATAATAATAATAATAATGATAACAATGATGATGATGATGATGATGATGATAATAATAATGATGATGACAATGATGATGATGATGATAATGATGATTATGATAAAGCCAAGGTTTCCAAAATGCTTTACAAATATTAGCTCGTTTGATTTCTGCCATTTTATAGACTCAGATAAAGTTGGAGTTGGAGGACATCTTGGATAAGAAGGAAAACTATCCTAGCTAGTTTTGAGGGAGCAGTAGGGGAAGACACAGCTTCTGACTTTAGGGGTGTCTCCAAACTGGTGGGAGATATGCAATGCCCACCCCCAGGGGATGCCCAGTCTGAGGAAGAAAGCTCCCGATCTTCTTTATCACGACACGATTCCTGCTCTCAGGGAGCTCTCAGTCAGATAGACTCTGAGACACATCTTCAAAGCTCTTCATAACCTAGCCCCCCTCCTATTTTTTACAGTCTTCTTACACCCTATTCCTCTTTTGGGAATTCTTTCTTTTTGTTTCTCCTGCAACTTTTAGTTAATATTAACCTTAACTGATCAAAACCTATCCCATGGGATGTAAACATTTACTTGAGTCTTAACCATTCCTTAGATAAGCCAGAGAAAGAATCTCAAGTGTCTCAGGTGACCTGTAAATCCTTCTTAATCAGCCTATTTGTGAACCCTCTAAATGCAGTTTAATCTGTAACCTGTCTTTGTTCGTGCAGAGTTTATTTGATGAAGTTTATTTCCTTAGGGGCTGTATGACATTGTGACTGTTTAAGTTTGTTCAACTTTCATGACACCGAAGGACGTATGAGATTACGGATCTCTAATTTTCATGGCGTCAGGGGAATGTACAAGATTGCAACATGTAGAAGAATTATTTCCCTGTCACTGACATAATTTTGCCTATAAGAAGGCTTGTTAGAATCCTAACGATCAGGTTTTCTCTGAGGCTTGAATTTATGCTTGAGCAAAATAAGAAAACCTAGGTTTTTACCTCCATAATTCTGTGTTGTGGTGAATATGTGTGCATATACATACATACATATATACATGGAGAGACACAGAGACAGAGACATAGAGACAGAGAGGAGAGACAGAGACAGGAGAGGGGGGAGAGAGACACACAGAGACAGAGAGGGACAGAAAGAGAGAGAGAGACGGAGAGGGGAGAGAGGGGGAGAGAGACACACAGAGAGACAAAGAGAGAGAGACAGAGACAGAGGGAGGGAGACAGACAGACAGAGAATGCTGCAGGGGAGTTGTTGGGGGCGAGGGCACGGAAGTAACTGGGAGGGAGGGAGGCGGCCAGTTCGGTCCCACCGCAGACACTAAAGTTTGGGTTCCAGAGCGCGGGGGAAAGGAGACCGGTCTCTCCCCTTCCGGCCTCTCCCCTTCCGGTCCCTCCCCTTCCGGTCTCTGCTTTCCGGCTCATCCCCTTCCGGCCTCTCTGGCCGGCGGCGGCGGTGGCGGCGCGTCTCTATGGTTCCGGCGCTGGCTGAGGCCGCAGAGGAGGCGCCATGGACACCGGCGGGCGGCCCTCGGCGGCCCAGCTCATCCTGCTGGGCGCCAGTTCGGCCGTGGCCGCCGCCCTGTACTCTGTGTACCGGCACAAGGTCCAGGCAGCCCGCGAGCTCAAGGTCAGTCGGTTTGCGCCGCGGACCCGGACTCGGACCCCGGGCCGGACCGTTTGACCCCACACCACCACAGCCTCGTCGGAGTTCCCACACCCTAGGCCCCCTCCCCCTGTCCCGCGTCCCTCTTCCCTCTCCGCAACAGTCAAAAGTGACTGAGGCCCGCCCAGGACCTAAGCCCTGACCCCGTCCCGAGGCGTCTTCCCCTTCCTCCTCGTCCGCCTCTGTTACCGTCGAGATCTGGGGGCCTTAGTGGACCACAAGCTCACTTTGAGTCAACGAAAACGACTTTGGTTTTTAGGCTGCATTAAGAGAGGCAGGAGCAGAGATGTCTACCTCCCTATACATCCATCCATCTATATCTGTCCATCATTCATCTGTATCTACCTCTCTATCCTGTCTATCCGGCTATAGCTCTCTACGTATCTATATCCTTCTAGCTGTGCATGCACTTATCCATCTATATCTATCCATTGTTCATCTGTATCTACCTGTCTGTGCTATCCATCCATTTATACCTGTCTACATCTCTTTCTGTTTATGTATTCATCCATATATATATTTAACATTTGTGACTATATATAGCCTGTCCTGTCTGTCCATCTATATCTACCTCTCTCTCTATTCTTCTGTCTTATCTAGTTTTTCTCTCTCTGTCTCTGTGCCTGTCTGTCTCTCCCCCTCCCCCCGTCTATAATTGTCCATTGCCCCGTTTTGTGTCCCCATAGAACATAGTACAAGTTGATTGATTGATAGCGACATGATAATTCCCTTGTTCCTTGTACTTGGGCCACTGAAGTTTTGTGGTCAGTTCTCCGTGCCACCTTTTGGGAAGGAAGTTGACAAACAGCCACCCAGGATGGGGAAGGAAGTCAAAATCATGGCCAGTTGACGATTGGCTCAATCATATGTAGCCTAGAGAAGAGAACACTTGGAGGGAGGGCATCATAACTGTCTTTAGGTATTAGAAGAAATGGGATTTCGCCATTTGGTCCTATGGGCAGAAATTTCTGGGAGGCAGATTATAACTCCTTTGTAAGGAGAAATTTGCTAACCATGAGAGTTCTCCATCCCTGGAGGTTCTCAAGCTAAGCCTGTACAGCCACTTGTTGGGGATAGGGCGACAGGTATTTTTCACTTAGGGTTTAGTCTTTGTGACCTTTGAGTTGTGGGACCTTCCATTTGTAGGATTCTGTTAAGTCTTTAATGTAAGAACAGCCACAGCATAAAGCTGGAATTCAGGAGTGTCTCCAGACCCTTTTCAAACCTGGTTTTATCATCAGCCAGTGCTGTCTCCTGAGCCTAAGGAGAATAAACACAACTTTATTCTTATGTATAGGAGGAATAGAGAAGGAAAACCTTAAGAAATTCTTCCCCATAGATTACGTCAAGAGCATTAATAATTTGCACTAGACATACTTGAGGAATGCAGTTAAATACTTATTATATACTTGTGTTCTTAGGGCAGAAGGATTTACAAAATTTAGACACGAAAGGTCCTTCCCGAGTAACTTAAGACAGAAAGCCATAATACATGACATTATAAGATAATTTTTTTTTCCGGAGAGAGGGGTTCATTTGGAGTGGTGGTCTTCTAGAAATGACTGTGATTTACATCGGTAAGCCTCAATAAGGAAGTGTAGGCAGTCCAGCTGTCATTTTGGAGTCTTTGCTAAGATATAATTTGTTCCTCTTGCTTTTGTTGTGTCTTTTCTCCTAAAAAACAAATTGAAATGATTCAGGGGAAAAGTAAATTGATATGTTACAGGAGTAAAAATGAAGTGCTATGTGAAGTCAGAGGGCAAAGTCCTTATGATAGGGGAGAATCAGAGAAGGCTTTGTGGAGGAAGTGACCTTAAAATTAGGATTAGAGGGTGGATAGGAATTTCTTAGGAAGACGAAGAAGGGAGAAGAATCTAGGCAGGGGGCAACCTGAACAGAAATGAGTACCGGGAATTTTAGGGAGTAAAGAAAGCATGGCCTAGAGTAAAGAGGAGAAATGCCTTAGTGGGGAAGTAGTTGTAGGTTTAGATCTAGAAGAAGCCTCAGAGCTCTGGTCCAAACCTCTCGTTTCACAGTAGAGGAAGTGATGCCCAGAGAGAAAGGCTTGTCCAGTTTTATTCAGCAGCAAGTGTCGGAACAGGGATTTGATCTCAAAGCTATTTGGACTTTGTATTTATTGCTCTTTCGTAACATACAACTTATGGGAAGATTCAAATGCCCAACAAAGGACTTTGAAACACCAGTCATTGTTTGATTTTTTAAAAGTCAGGATCGTTGTATGAAGCATCGGCAAAGACTTCGCTCTGATGGTACAGATGGGCCTGACCTAATGGGTAGAGAGCTAGTCTTGGAGTCGGGGAGATCCGGGCTCAAGGCCCTCCTGACACATGGTGTGTGGAGTACCTTAGGTGCTGAGGCAGATGCAAGGGTAGATAAGGACATTCTCAAGCAATGTGTGTCTGCATGGGTTTGTTCATGTCACCCTTCTGCTCAGAGTCCTTCAATGGCTTCTTATTTACCACATAAAATTCAGACTCCTTTGTCTGACATTCAGAGTCTCCCATCTGGGGCCTTCCTGCCTTTCTGACATTTTATCAGTAGTACAGTGAAGGGATGCATTGGGTGAACTTCTGGACTTGGAGTCAGGAAGACTGGAATTCAGACCCGGCCTGGGCAAGTCACTTAAGGTCTCCCAGCCTCAGTTTCCTCATATATAAAAAGAGGGCTGTACTGTAGGTTGGGGTCCCCTAGTGTAGCACATCTCTATTTCCTCATCTAGTTTATCAGCTCTTCTCACAGCAATGAAAAGCTCTCAAATTTATTTAGTACTTTAAGGCTTACAGAGTGTTCCTCACAACCCTGTGAGGTGGAAGTGTAATTACTCCTTACCATTTTACAGATGAGGAAATTGAGGCCCAGAGCTGCAAAGTGATTTGCCCAAGGTCACACAACTCAGGTCACCCAGTTCTCAGTTTTGACTGTATTCCAAGTCCAATGTTCTGTTGATGTTGCCTCTTCCAGCAGAGGAACCATGTCTTTTTCTTTCGCATGTCCCTTGTGGTGCTTGTTTCTGAGACTGATTATAGAAGCCACTTAAATGGAAGGTGGTCGTAATATAAGCTGTCACCTAAAAACCTCATATACCTGGGAATCTGTTATTTGGCCACCTCAGTTATCTGAAACAATGGGAAAGGAAGGGAGAAGGGAATAAGCATTTATATAGAACCTGGTATGTGCCAGTCACTGTGCTAAATGCTTCACAATTACTATCTCATTTGATCCTCACAACAGTTCTGGGACGTAGGTGGTGTTATCCTCATATTATGGTTGAGGAAACTGAGGCAGATAGATGCTAATTGATTTGCTCAGGGTCACACTGCTAGTAAGTGTCTGACACTGGATTTGAATTCATATTTTTCCGACTCTAGACCCAGTGCTTGAGCCACTTTGCCACCGAACTACCTAGCAGGAAGGAAGCGAAAAAGTTAGTGTCCTAAAGCTCGTGCATTCTGTTCCAAGGAGAACTTCATAGCGGTCTTGATTTTATTATTTTGTGCATGTCTCTTACAGCAACAAGTAAAGGACACCTATAAGAACTTGCAAAATTCAACAGTCTGTGGCTGTTGTGTGTAGAGACGATTCAATTTGATTTAGAAAACATTTGTTAAATGCCTGATATGTGAAGGCCACTGTGATTGAGGGAGAGGGCTAGAGATGAAATGGATGGACTCTGCCCTCGGGGTTATTGCAGTCTAATGGGAGGGGAAGGGCTGTGATCTTCGCACAAATACATTTAAAGTAACCTCTGCAGTGTTATGGCAAAGCGGGCATGAAGTGTTGTTAGAAAATTTTCTAAGAGACAGCACTCAAGGAACTGTACCCCTGCACTGGCACCTGAGGGCACCACTGTGGCACAGCAAAGTAGTGGATGTTCATAATGGTGACTGAATTGTCAGGAAAAGGTTAGGTAGCTGGGGAGTATATGATATAGTTTAGAAAGATTCACACAGAAGTGGATAAGATTTTTGCTCTTGAAGGTACTTAATTTCTATAGAAAATATTCTTAGTTGTATTTTCAACAATGCTGCCTGTTCCCATTTTTGAATGGTACTTTCTGTAATTGCTATTTGAGGGTTCCCAACCACTCCTTTCTGGATTGAAATAGAAACATAAGCTTTCTCTTGTCCGGTTCACCCACATTTATTATTTCTTCTCTGAATATTAGTGGGTTTGATAGAATATGTCATAACATTGGTAACATTGATCATTTTACTTTTTTTCCCCCCTAGGGAGCCAAAAAAATTCACTTGGGAGAAGATTTGAAGAGTATTCTTAGTGATGCTCCTGGGAAGTGTGTGCCTTATGCTGTCATTGAGGGTATGCTCATTGATGGGTCGGGTTTAGTGGGAGGGAGGGGGCTTGGTGAGGGGCCCACTGGGATGCACTGCCCCTCATCTCAGCCACCTGGCAGCCTGATCCTCCTCAAGGTTCACGTTCCTCCCCTTTCCAGGAAGCCTTCTCTCGTTGTCACCTCCCCCCCCCAATATTAACGTGGGTGCAGGTTGTCTCTCTCCTCCCCTCCTTCCTTAAATGTTATGTCTTCGTCTTGGGAGCCCCATGCCTGCTGTGTAGTTGGCACTTAATTGTGCTCTGCAAAGGAAGTTCTCAATTGATTTTTCCATTGCCTGAGTGAAATTCATTTCATCGAAGTGAGTAAAGACTTGAGCTTGCTCAGAGATAAGGAGAGTATTTCTGTTCCATTTTTATTGATACCTTTTGGTTTTATATCACTTCTCCCCTCTCCTTTCCCCAGCTCGCAGTTCCGTAAAGCCAGCCAGCATGGCAGCTGCCCCTTCCAGCATGCGCAGGAGCCTGCCCGTTGTCCCCCACCTCTGCAGAGCCTTTCCCCAGCTGAGCGCACCTACTTTGTTTGTAGTTCTTATCGCCACAGAAAACGTGCTGCTACGAATAGTTTATTTTGCAGAACGTGAACCTCCCCTTTGTCTTTGACCTTCTGGGAGTGTCTGCCTGGCAGTGCCATCCCTGGATCAGAGGTCACTTTGGTAGCATAATTCCATATTGTCTTCAGAAGGGTTTCACCAATTCACAGCTGCGCCGACAGTGAATTAAAGCGCCTCTTTTCTGGCATCCTCTCTAGCATTTACCGTTTCTGTCTTTTGTCATCTTTGCCCGTTTCCTGAGAGTGACATTTTGATTTGTGTTTTGCTGTCATTAGTGATTTGGAGCAGCTTTTCACGTGGCTGTTAATAGTTTGTGGTTCTTCTTTTTGAGACTGTGTTCACATCGTATGCTTTGACCACGGAGCCACTGGGGAATGGCTTTTGTGTTCTATGTTTTTGTTAATTCCCTCTATACCCTTTTCAGGGAGAGTTGATGCAAAGATAGATTTGATGGGGAAATTGATTTTTTTTTCATGCAGAAGCTTTCCATGGGAGGACAGTTCTTAAGGAATCTCTCTTCCCCTTCAGGAGCTGTGCGTTCTGTTAAGGAAACCCTTAACAGCCAATTTGTGGAAAACTGCAAAGGAGTGATTCAGAGACTGACCCTCCAGGAGCACAAGATGGTGTGGAATCGAACAACCCACCTCTGGTGTGTACCTTTTTTCCTGCTGCTTAGGAGCTTTTTGATGGTCTCTTCCCCTGCTGGATTCCTGGGTCTTAATTCATAATGTCAGGTTTCTCTCTTTGTGAAATGGGGAAGCTTCAAGAAAAGAGAAGTAGTGACTAATTACTCAAGCAGATGGACAGTTTGTGTTGCCTAAACCAGGGTTTCCCAGCCATCCCTCTGTGGGAAATGTTTACTGGTCCACAAAACCTCTACCACCCGAGGTCCAAAAACCTGCCTCCCCAGGGTCGGAAGATCTGGCCTCTTGTTCCAGTTCCAGGTTGGCCAGTAGGGATCGGTAGAGGGGAAGATTGGGAGGGGAGTAACATGGAAGAAGGCTGGAGAGATAGAAAGAGGGCCAGCTGGGAAGGGCTTCAGACACCAGACAGAGGAGTTCAAATTTGAGCCTACAGGTATTAGGGAACAGTTGGGGTTTGTTTAGTTGGGAGTTGGGGCAGACCTGATTAGACCTGGACTTTAAGGAAATCATTTTTTTCAAGGAGGAATATCCGACAGTCATCGTGCATTTGTGGAAAGCTCAGGCACTGTGCTAGGTGATTGGAGGAGGGGGGAGTAGTCCCTGCCCTCAAGGAGTTTACATTCTAGGAGGGAGACAGTATTTACATGTGTGGGTGTGTAGGAGACACAAAATAGGTGTGAGGTAGGCTTAGAGGGGAAGGCAAAGCATCCATTTCATAAGAACTCAGCCTGAGAACTCTCTTCTGAGCCAGATTGTAGCTGGTCTGCGCCTTTGTAGATGATATTTTAGGGAATTTCATGAGACATAGTGTTACCTGCCTTGCTTAACATCCCCTAAGCAAGCACGGGAAGCATCTGAGTTGAGGTCTTTTGTTATCCAAGCCCAGCCCTCTCCCCGCCAGGCTACGCTTCCTTGACACGAGAGGGCATCAGGGGGCTATTTCTCTAGCATTTTAAAGTTTGCTAATGCTTTCCTCTCAGCAGCCCTACGGTACCCGCTAGGTACAAGTATGAGTATACTTCTAATACCTACTTCGTAGACTTGTGAGGAGGGTGCTCTATGAAGCATAAAGCACAATAGAAATGTGAGATCATGCCACTGGTTATTTTTCTTCTTCCCTTTTATCCTCAGACTCTCTTTTTTCCTCCACATTTCCTTCTCCCTGCCCCTATTCTTGGACCAGGACTCCTTTTCTTGACTAAAAGCCCTCATATCAAAGTGGAGGAGGATAATAGGGAATTTAGATCTTTTCCTCGTCTACAGTATAGTTTGAGTCAGGAAATCCTCCTCTCAGTTTTTTCCAGTATCAATCTATGCAATTTAATCAAATCCCACAAACATTTACTAAGTGCCTATTATGTGCAGATGACGGTGCTTGCAATTGAGGGAGAGAGTTTAGTTTAGAGAGCATCCCATCTTTTGGATTTTATAGTCTAGCAGATCTTTCCATTTCATTCAGTTTTTTTTTTAAATCTTTTTGGTGAGGCAGTCGGGGTTAAGTGAGTTGCCCAGGGTCACACTGCTAAGTAAGTGTCAAGTGTCTGAGGCTGGATTTGAACTCAGGTCCTCCTGACTCCAAGGCCAGAGCTCTATCCTCTGTGCCACCTAGCCGCTCCTCAGCCACTTCTTATTAGCGTTGTCTCTTACTGCCCTAAATTTTGTAGTATTATTTCTACACATTCTTATCTGGCATAAATTGGTAATTTAAATATTTAATAGAGGCCTCTTTCCTTGTATGACAGCAAATATTTTCCCATTGGATTCTGATGGATTTTTTAAAAAACTGGCAAAGAAAACAGGAAACATCTCGGGGCCTTTTGCCCCACCCCAAGTGGCCCATTGGTTGAAGAAGTTTGGGAGCCACATAATCAAACACATGCTAATGGGGATTCACAGATTCATCTGGCTTTCAGCATTCTCCTTTGCTTATGTGTTTGGTGTTTTCTGCCCTCTGTCTCATGCTTTTATTTTCCTCTTCCAGGAATGACTGTGAAAAAATCATCCACCAGAGAACAAATACGGTGCCCTTTGACCTGGTGCCCCATGCCGATGGCACGGGCGTGGCGGTCCGAGTTCTGAAGCCCCTGGACTCAGCTGACCTCGGCTTAGAAACGGTGTATGAGAAGTTCCACCCTACGGTCCAGTCCTTCACTGATGCGATCGGCCACTACATCAGTGGGGAGCGGCCCAAGGGCATCCAGGAGACGGAGGAGATGCTCAAGGTGGGGGCCGCCGTCACGGGCGTGGGGGAGCTGGTTCTGGACAACAGTTCCATCTGTCTGCGGCCCCCCAAACAGGGCCTGCAGTATTACCTGAGCAGCCAGGACTTCGATGCCCTCCTGCAGAGGCAAGAGTCTGGCGTCAAGCTCTGGAAAATCCTGACAGTCGTCTCTGGCCTTGCCGCCTGTGCCACCCTCCTCTTCATCCTGCGCAGGCAGTACCTGCACCGGCGAGAGCGGCAGCGCATGAAGCAGGCGCGGGAGGAGTTCCGGCTGCGCGAGGCCCAGCTCCTGAGGGCGGCCAGCGCTGAGGACAGAGAGACTTTAAAAAATGCCTGCGCTGTGTGTCTGAGCAACGTCAGGTCGTGCGTCTTTCTGGAGTGCGGCCACGTCTGCTCCTGCGGCGAGTGCTACCAGGCCTTGCCCGAGCCAAAGACGTGCCCTGTTTGTAGACGGGAGATTGTCCGGGTAGTTCCCTTGTACGACAGCTGACTGTTCAAAGATTTGGAATTTACAGAGGAGACGGTTCCCCTTTTCAGTGGATTTTACCAATCCCTTAGAGGTGGAGTCTGGTGGTGGCCACTTGTAACCGCTAGGCATCATCGAGGGATGGAGGGAGAGAGAAAAAACATCCTGATCTCTTAAACGCAGCAGCAGAGATTGGACACCGAGGCCTGTGGGATTATGCTTTAAATCAAAGAGCGGGCGAGCCAAAGAGCCTGGGTGGGTGTATGTAGCAAGGCCGGCTGCATCTTTTCTGCCATTTCTGCGTGCGTGCGTGCGTGCATGCGTGTGTGTGTGTGTATGAAAGAAAGAGAAAGTTAACTAGACCCCTTGACCTCACAAGCGGTTCCCTCCTCACTTGTGTCTGAGATTTTTTCCAGCATCATTCCAGACGAGTCGTGTGATCCCCGTTGGTTTAGGACAGCCTGGGTTCAGTGACCCAGTTATCCCAGCGGGAGAAAAGGGAGAACATAGTGAGTGGGGGTTGGGTTTTTCAGAGGTGCCTCAGGAGAAGCCTGGGGTCAGAACAGGAGCTGCCAGCTGCCAGTAGGACTAGTTTTCTTTTCTGCTCCACCACTTGCATATCGTGCAGTTATTTTAACCCAGATTGCTAGGGAATGATGTGTTGATAAGGCTTTCCTTCCTTCTCATCCCTCTCATCAACCAAATAGTGTCTGTACAGGCATGTGGAGAAGGAAGGAAGTGAAACTGCGTCTTAGGCCTTAGGCCCCAGGCAGCTCAGTGTGGCGGGCAGGAACCTGAAGGGGACATTAGGGGAGAAAGCGAGTCAGCCTTATTGGTGATGGTGGAAAGTGAGGCCTGGATTTTCAGATTCCTCTTCAGCTTTGTCTTGTCCCCGTTTAGCTGCCTCACCCTCGGTGTGCTCACTGCCTTCAGAGCAGGCTGACACGTAAATGGCCGCTGTGCCCACGGGAGGCGAGGACGCCAGGATCACGGTGCTTGGGGTTCGAGCTGGGAACCTTCCAGGGAATGATTAGGTGTTGTGCCCGTTTCAAGCGAGGATTGGAAAGTGCTCCAGACTTGAGGATGTCACCGCGTTAGCCTCCTCACCCTGGAGGCTTTTCACCAGTCAGGAGGACGGGAGCACGCATTCTTACTTGATCCCCTTTACCGCGAAGTGAGAGTGTCCCATGGGTCTGATAGTGCTATCTCTTCTTGTGTTGCTTTCCCCCTTCCTTGTCTGCTTGAGTTTTGTAAGCGCCAGCCTTGGGGGGATCCCCGAGGTTGCAGCCTCTCTTCTCGTGTCTCCTTCCCCTGTCCTGCTTCCTGGCCTCCCCTGAGAACAGGGCTGTCACGGCAACACCCCAGGACTATGCAGTGTCTTCTTTGGCTCGTGTGCAGAGGACGCAGAGTAAATATTTTATGTTGAAACTGAATGTGAGTCTGTGGCTTTGTGCGCGTTCCCACTAGGGCTTCTCTTGATAAACCGTCTCAGAATTAGAGCTGCATTGAGGGTTGTCTAGTCCAGCAAGCACTTACACACAGTTCTTTGAGATTTGCAGAGCGCTTTACAGCCATCTCATTTGAGCCTCACACCTTGAGAATTAGGTGCTCTTATTATCCCCATTGTATAGATGAGGAAACTGAGGCAGAAGTGAAGTGACTTGTTGGAACATCTCAGGGCGGATGTGAGCTCGAGCCTTTCTTACTCCAGGTCCCTTGCTTTGGCCTCTGTGCCGGCTCTCTCCTGTAGAGCTGAAACAGTCCAAGTTGGGGGTCTAAATGTGGTGCTCTGCCCAGTCCACACTGTGAGAGCTGATGTCCCGGGAAAGCCCCGTGGCTCTGCTGGGCCCTCGGCTGTCTGACCTGAGCAGCGATGACATGAAGCCAGGCTCAGTGTGGCTTTCGTCTTGGGCATATTTTACTGCATTATTTTGAAGATAGATGATCGATATATGGAAGTTTTTATGGTTGAATGAAAACAGCGCTGAATTTGGAGTCAGAATCTGGGTTTGAATCCTCGCTCTGCTACTTTGTGACCTGGAAAAGTCACTTCCCTTCTCTGGGCCTCAGTTTCCTCCTCTGTAAAATGAAATCATTGGACTAGATCAGCGGTTCTCAAAGAGTGTTCCAGGGTCACCCAAGAGCTCCCAGACCCTTGAGGGGGTCAGCGAGGTCCAAACTTAGAATGCTAAGATGTTTTATTTCCTGATGTGGTAAATATTAATAGATAGAACCTGCATAAACAAAAGCTCTCTGGGGAGTGTAAAAGGGTCCTGAGACCAGAACATTGGAGAAGTGCTAGGCTAGGTGGTCCCAGAGGCACCTTCTGGCACTAAATTCTAGGCATGATAGCCAGAGTCTTTAACTGGAACAGCCCTGCTCTTTCTGGTTTAATGGAAGTTAGTTGCGCAACAAAGTGTAGGCGTGCCCCAAATAAGAGTGCCCCAGCCAGTGATCTTTTGCAGGAGCCTATGGTTATAATACATAGTAAGCAAACTGCACTCAGAACCTCACTCTTCACACCCTTCAGACATTTGGCCATCCTTAGTACTTATAGCTGTGTAGACCTAACTGGGCACCCTGTTCCCCACTCCTAGGCTTAATGGAACCAATAAAAGAAGGTGGCACATCCTTACTGAAGGTGTCAGTGCTAGAAGGCTTCCTGGAGGCAGTGGGGTTTGGATTTGGAGATTAGGATTAGTTTGGTGGAGAGGAGGGAGGGTTGGTATATGGACTCACCCCAGGGGGAGTGCCTTGAGGCGGGGAAGTTTGGTCATCCCATCTATGACCTTACTGGCACATGAGGTGAAGCCTGGGAATCCTGGGTTGAGCCAACTCTAAATCTTGATTTCCTATTGTAGTATGGGCTCCCTTGCCCGAGCCCTTGTCTACCATTGGAGAGATGAATTCCCTCATACCTCAGCCCTCTTGGGTGTTGGCGCTCTGCAGACCCCCTCTGAGTAAGTTGACTTGGGTTTTGGAGTTTGTTTGCCTACCATGCTGCCTCTCCCCCCTAATTCAGACTCTGGATACCCTGACTGCTTGTCAGTGCCACCACCTTTTCCACCCCGTGCCCCTTCCATTGCACCTTTTGGTCCTCGGGGTCTGGAGCAGGGTGGAGGTGTGGGAAAGTAGCCGAACTGGAGTCTGTAGGTGTGGAAGGGTGCAACAGGGACAAGCGAACCAATTAGCCTGGCCAGGGCATCGAGTACCTGAGTAGATGAGCTTGGTGAGTTGAAGGTGGGGAGAGTTCTGCAATTGGGGGGCCTTAACTGTGAGGCAGAGGTATTTTAAGGTCCTTGTGTGCATGGCGTGGCTAGTCTTGGAAATCGAATGTGACTTCCCTCAGGCTAGCTCCTCTGCAAGGTGTCAGGATTGCCTTTGCAGAAACCCAGAAGGGGAAAATTGCGTTTTCTTTCCAATTAGATGGCGTTAACATCCATTTTGAATGAAATAAATTTCCATGTATTCTAAGCTGAATTGCTCCCAGAAGTGCTCATTAGCCACTTCCCCTGCAGCTGCCTTTTTGTTCTAACTCCCAGGCCCGGTTCTGCTCTGGAGCAGTTGGCCTGGGGGGGATGGCCTTTCCCTTCCTGAAGGTGACTGTGGTGCTGCCGCTCCTCATTAGCCCTTTGCCAGGCCCCTCAACTGGGCCTGGGGCTCTGGGACCAAGGATTGAGATCATGGACTGTTTGAATTTGGAGTCTAAGGCTTGGATCATACTGGCTAAATTGGCCATGACTTCACAGGGCCTGGTCAGGGAGCTGAGTTCTTCAGCAGAATCAAGTAGTCAAAGCTGATTAATGAGACGGGGTAGAGAAGTGGAGGCTGCTGTAGCTGTTGGAGGGCAGAGAGCTGTCCATCATTTGAGTGGTTGGAAGAAGAGCTGTAGTCTGTGGTCCCAAGTCTGAGGACTGAAAGGTCTGTGCCCCTAGCAGTTAGAATTAGGAAGCCCACAAGTCAGGTCCTGGAGACCTGATGTGCTAGCTCCTTACAGACCTCAGGCCCTGTGGGCATCCTCCAGGGAGCTCCACTAGCCACTGGCCTTGCATCTAAAATACGGGCATCCTGTTTCTTGACCTGGCATGTTGTCCCCCTAAACACAGAAGTGCTGCTCACACAGACCGTGAAAGTGACCCTTTAATTGATGACTTCAGCACTGGAATGAAGGTCCAAGTTGTCTGGGGCCTTGGGGCATTGCCACCGTGGAGAATCTGCTTCTAGCTCAAGACCACTGTAGAGAGCCAGGTGTGGACAATGATGAATTTCAGCAATGAGAGTGAAAGGTAATTAGGATCCGTTTGTGGCCTGTTCCTTTTCTGGCCACCCCAAACCCATAAAAGTAATTGTTCACATTTCTGTAGTGCTTGATGTTAACTACTTTGTGTTCAGTATGCCCTTGTGCAGATGAGGAAACAGACTCTCAGAGGCTGACTTGCCCAGGATCACCCAGCCGATAAGTGTCAGAGCCCTGGAAGCTGGAGGGGAAAAGAGACCCTTTGCTTCTGTTAGAAGTCTGCCATATGCCATCTCCTCTTTGCCCTCCCATCCAGAGTCCCCTTGAGGGCAATGGGCCTGGAGCCTGGAGCTGGGAAGCTGGCCTCGGCCCCTTTCACCAGAGGCTCTGCTGAGAAGAGCCCAGGAGGAGTCCGAGCCCCTGGACAGCCTGTGGTGGTGGGCCTAGGAGTGGGCATGGCTGGCTCTGGGTAATTCCGTTGGGGCTACAGTTGTTTCTTCAGCCTCTGCCTAACAGGAGGGGTCAGGGTTAGAGGGAGGCAGAGCTGGGTTCTAGTGCTTAAGAACTGCCACCCTGGGTCACACCTCTTCTCTCTCTATTTAAATCACCTTTCTGGGCTTCTTTTTTCCCCATCTTTGAAGTGAGTGACTTGGGCTAAATTATTCTAACTATAAATTGCCTCCCATTCAGCTGTAACATGCTGTGTCCTGAGAGCCCTTCCAGCTCTGACATCCTGTGTTCTAAGGCCCCTCCCTCCTAGCTCTGACCCTCTGGGTCCTAAGGGCCCTCCCAGCTCTGACATCCTGTGTTCTAAGGCCCTCCCAGCTCTGACATCCTGTGTTCTCAGGCCCCTCCCAGCTCTGACATCCTGTGTTCTAAGGGCCCTCCCAGCTCTGACATCCTGTGTTCTAAGGCCCTTCCCAGCTTTGATGTCCTGTGCTCTAAGGGCCCTCCCAGCTCTGACATCCTGTGTTCTAAGGACCCTCCCAGCTCTGACATTTTTTCTTGTGAGGTGCTTTTCAGGTCCAGTAGTCTGAATCCCCAGGTGATCACTACAGTAAGGTGTTCGCATTTATGGCTGGCCTCCCTCTCCTGTCATGGCAGTCTGTGTGGAGGTAGGACAGTGAACCACTGTATCTTGCCAGTCTGTACACACTTACGTTTGCCACCTCCAGGAAGGGGTGGAGATGGGGTTCCCTGGACCAGTGGCATTGACTCCCTTTTCTGTTCAATTTCTCAGCCATTTCATAGCCCATCTGAGGTGGAGGTGACTTGGGTATGACTCCAGGAGACTTGACTGGCCTAACCTTGGAGGGGCTGGAGAAAGTTCCAGTAGAAGGGAGTTGGAGAGAATTTTGTTTTTTGGTTCTAGCTGAGTCCCTGTCTGATTTTGGGGCCAAGACTTGGGCTGTCAAATTTGATGTTTCTCTAAGCAGAGAAATGAAAAAAACAGAAACAACAAAACAGTAGTCTAGGAGCTCGACAATCTGGAATCTAGTCTTGACTTTGCTACTAACTCATTGTGTGATCTTTATAAAGCAAGTCCTTTCTCTCTGGGCCTTGGTTTCCTCATCTGTAAAAATGAAGCAATTGGATTAAATGATGTCCCCGAGGCTCCTCTCACTTCTAATATCCTGTGTTCTAAGGTCCGCTTTTAGGGGCAGCTAAGTAGTGCAGTGGATAGAGCATTGGCCATGGAGCAGGAGGACCTGAGTTCAAGTCTAATCTCTAACAGTAGTCGTATGACCCTGGCAAGTCACTTAAATGCAGTTGCCTTAAAAAAAAAAAAAGAGTCCCTTCCAAGAGTTAAGGGGGCTATGAGTATGAAACATTGCATATACTCTCGTAATTAGTTGATATATTGGGTTTTTATTTTTATTTTTTAAAAAATGATGTACCTTTTGGCTCTCACATTTTGTGCTGTAAGGGTCCATTTCAGTTTTAATATTCTCTCTTCTAAAGTCCCTTCCAGCCCTGGCATTCTTTGTTCTAAGGTGCCTTCTAGTTTTGACCTTTTCTGTTCTAAGTACTCTTCTAGGCCTAACATTCTGTTCTAAGGAACCTCCTCCCACTCTGACATTTTATGGTGTAAGGTCTCTTCTGGCCCTGCTGGGCCTTTAAGCTCTGATGCTCTATATTTTCAGGTCCCTTCCAACCTTAGCATTCTTTATTGTAAAATCCCCTTCAGCTCTGCTG